TTATTCATCATGTGAATGCAGGCGTCTTCCCATGTCGAAACAAACAGCACAAACAGACTCACTGATGCGAGAGTACTTGTTTTAAATCTAGAACCACGTACTCTTTTGTGAACCTAAATTGAAGCTTGAGTTTATAGTAGAAAGGTTTATATTCGTACGCTGTGATATTGACTTCTTGATTAAATTGGATTTGAAGACTACTTCTTAGGATATCCTTCTAAGACGTCTTATTATTTTAAAGGATTACAAAATTTAAATGTCGCACCTATTTGAATATCATATCACAATGATATAACATAGTTGGTAAAAGTTGCCCTATATTGTAGCACTAGATTCCGTCTGCGTTTTCGCCCACGTGTTAGATAAAAGTAGATGTGTTAATCTAGAGCTATCTACACACCAAATTTCAACAAAAGCAGTTTAACTATTTTTGCGTGAAAAAATAACAAACATACATCGATACATTCTCATAAACTTTCACATTTATAATGTTAATAGGATCGTGGACCAACCAATACCAACATAAAAAAATTCGACTAACCGACATTTTCATAACATTGGTAACTGCAAATAAATGTCGATAACAACGCAGAACTCTATATAAAACGTAGTGTGCTCATATTTACATTACTATCGTCCGCATACAAGCGTCAACAACGCGCATTACGTTAACCAAACAAGCGCATATACTTTCAATATTGATTCATTGTTATGGCACGACCAGAAGCATTTTAATAGTAGCTTTAAGTCCGTATTTTTTTACTACACTTCTTCTTTCACGATGAACGGCGTCAGGAACTATGTACTACATACTGCACCGATGGTGTTTGGTATAAGTCTGTGACATTTTGCCATAGGCTTCATAGCCTAAGATCAGGACCATTCTCAACATGTAAATGCGAATAAAAGGCTATTTTAATTTGTAAACTTGATATTTTTTTTATGTAATGGGTCGGCAATCGGTTTGACGGATGACCTGCTTTTAAGCAATCAGCGCCGCCCATGGACACCCGGAGGAGTTACAAGTGCGTCGCCGACCTTTTAGGGATTAGGGATTTGGAGATTTAGGGATTGGGGAAGGGGAAGGATTGTGCCTCCGGTAACCGCACTCACACGGTGAAACACAACGCTGTAGTTGTTTCACGCCAGGTTTTTATGAGGCCGTGGTATCATTCCGGTCGAGCCGACCCATTTGTGTTGAAGCGTGGCTCTCCCACACTTGATATTCAGCTCTTATCACTCAAACACTGACAGCAACATTATGGATATTGTCTTCACTTATATATGTATAGGTGGAGCCACCGTAAAATACGCTAGACCTAATATGTTTGGAAACATGGAACGTTAAAATATTATCTTAGGTATGTAAAAAAACATTATCATTATCGGCCATAATATCTGCCTTAAAATATTTCGAATTGGATCCCTAAAAAAGAAAAGAACATTGAGCGATGTCCCCGTCGCCATGTTACAGACAATAAATAAGAAAAAGTATGAAAGGAAACGACGAGAAACAATGGCCGATACAAAGTAAACGACTTAAAAAAAGACAACGCAAATCTGGCTGGTTCGTAGAGTTGCTTAAAAAAGGCTATTAGGCAGAAATATTTTATTTTTTCATAAGGAGGCCAATTTAAAATTGAATACAATTTATGGTACTGAGAATAAATTTTAAAGTGTCCCCAAACTAGCAACTCTATTGACTACGAACAAAATGCTGTGAGACTGATCTTAGACACAAGTAGCGACATCTAGTTAGTGCAAATTATAACAATTTCACTTGCTTCTGTTTTCTGCCGAAAAATATAATGAGTAGTTTATTTTTTCTTAGCGAAATAGTAAAGAGTAAATAGTATTCTCTTCTTTTTTTGGATTTTGGAATTAAAAATTTGAAAATTTGGCTAATACTCACGTAACCTTATTATGTAAGAATAATATGTTTTTAACATTACTATGTTTTATGAAACTACTATGACAAGCTAAGCAACTTCGAACATTAGAAATCAGCGCTACCCATGGACACTTGCAAGACTAGAGGGTTTAATGGTTGGGGATTTCAGGATTCGTGACTTAGGGATGGAGAATGGGTGGAGGAAAATGGGACCTCTGGTTATCTTAATCACACGACGAAACACAACTGTCTTCTGTGAGGCAGTGGCCGCATAAATCATAATAATATCACGCGTCTATCAAACTAGAAACAATTTAATACTTTATCGAACAGTATAATCATTAGCTTCATTCAAATATCATATACGTCAAAGCCTATTTCCACTTATTGATAAAGTGTCAACACTTATTCCTAGCCCATTGTCTTCTATATAATGACACAAAGCCGTTCTTTGAGAACGAGCCTATTCAAGAGTCTTCAAAGTCATATCCGGATTTTCAAGTGCATGTTCTAAGTCTTTTGTGTTCGTGGATTTACTTCAAAGTTAACGGAGTGTTTGTCTTATCCATATGATTTTAGGTATTTGTCTTATCCATATTATTATAATACAATTTTTTTTTAAAGAGTTGCTTCCGTATTCTTCTCCTTCTATTTTTACGTTTCTGACGAAGTTCAAAATCGTGGAAACAACACTTAATTTATTTTTATGAGACTTGGTACTTATACGCAATCTATTATGATTTACAGACTTAATAAATACCTACATATTTTAAATATTGTTTAAGTGGACAGTTATAACTGCTTATAAGTGATGAATTAATTATACATACATGGAACGTAAAAAATCTTACATATTATGTTCATGAATCAAGTAACATTAAAATTGTTTTATTAGTTTTTAAGATTTTGGACTTGAAAGTTAAAGTATATGGAAACCTGCGCTGGGTAAACGCTCTTACAAAGCAGTGTGCTTTATATTTAAAGCGCGAATTTAATAAGAGTTTGGTAATAGTATAGCTTGGTTTTAGTCTGTTTTCATTTTTCAGTTCACTTTTCATGAACTGGTTTAATAAATATTTTTCATAAACATTCGACTGAATTAAAAATACGGATACATTTATATGTACACATACTGAGTATTATACTCGCTACACTACTACATTATCTCTGTGGCAAAAATAGACACAACATTATAGTTCTTTATTGAGACATCATCCCGTTTCAAGGTTTCGCCTTCATACTGTTACGTACTGCATATTCAGCACACGACCCTAAAAGATAAAGTATTCTTATATAAGAAAAGAAAGCTTATTCGTAAGTCGACGCAAGATGACGATGAATATCAAAATGTTGTTTTAAAATAATATTTATATTTACGACCAAAATCTTGAAAGATAGAAAGGAATATTTATTACATTTTAATATTTTAGTTTTACCCATATTTTATACGGTTATAAGTGCTGAACTGTACTTTACATAAAATGAAATTTCCGTATTTTTGTATTCATTGATTCATTATTATATTTATATAAAATAATTTATATTTTTTTCAAACGCCCTATTCTTATATCTTCTTCTGTGTCGTCGATGCATTTAATAACATTCTATTTCACATACAAACCCGGAACAACAATTTGTGTATCACAGTAAAAGTTGTTCCGAGCGGAACCGAATATGCGACACGGCAGCAGTGTAGATTGTAGTGTGCAGCTGATATCTAGGAGAATGCCCACATTTTTGCTATCACCTTCTTTTCTGTTGACGGGGCATATTTTATAGAGAGAATAAACTAGTGAGTATAGGAATTTTGTCTTAGTAAAGAGTCCCGAATAGCTATCGGATTCTCTAAATAGACCAACTCCGGAGTCCCTACAGTGCAAGAGTCCACAAAGAGTTGTTCCGTGCGGGAGGTGTACTCCAATTCCCTAGAAACCGCATCTACCCTGCAATCAAATGGGAATACTTGTGCTTTTGATTTCAGGAGTCAGAACGTCAATTTGGCTTTCGAAAATTGTAAGAAGTAAGAGATGAAATGTAAAAAAATGGAAATAAATAATTCGATTTGATTTGAATGAAACCTTTTTTTCTGTGATAATTTTATTTGATAATGATTATTACATGATGCCCTTTTTTGTTTGTAATTAAAATCACGGAGTAATTAGTATAATTTGCGATGTTTTTTTTAATAGTTTTATATACCTTACCTTATAATAAATATCGAATTCTAGCCTATTATAAAGTTCCAAGAACCAGTGTTCTTGAAGAGGCTCGTTTATTCGACATAAGATCTCTTTGCTGTAGGCTGCTATTAATTAAAATGGTCTGTTAAAAAAAACTCATTTGGTCTCAAAGACAAAGGCACTGCTTGAAACAGCCTCTTTATAATTTCCATTCATACAATGCATTCGTTTGCATATTTTAATAAATTTCATAATTATTTTATTCATTTTTAATAGTTTTGTTTCGATAATTATGGTTTACTTATGTTATAAATATGAGTATAATATTGTGTAAACTATTATATACTTGATTGAATAATCAAGCGATTATTCAAAAATGTAAAAAATATGAGATGTTGAAAAAATAAGTTTATGGATAATATACGATAAAATGACTATTGATATTTATATACTATTATATTGATATTTTATTATGTTACAAGCATATTATAATAATATTTTTTGAAGAAAGTGATTCATAAACTATTTTGCATTAAACAAATACAAGTAAAGTTCGCATAAAATTACGTAAATTCGTTTTTGCTAATCCATCCCCTCGTGGCAGACTTATGAAAGTTTTGAATTATAATTTCATGTGTTAGATGGATTGTAGTTTCCACTTAAACTTTGTCTAGGTACGCATCCCATGAGACATATAATCCTATTTCTAACTTAATGTTAAAATAACTATCAAAATTTCAAACCTATAACTTCATTTTAAAAGCTCTTAACTGCTTTTTAATGTTCTCGCCGTGTAGGTAAGATTTTACTGTAATATTTTCATAATGACATTTAAAAATAAAACCTCCATGCACCATTAAAACGAAGCTCATATATCGAAGGTACGATAAAACAAAATGTACTTTTAATATTTCAAAAATGGAACTTACCGATAAGAACTAACTCCAATAACATTCATAATTGAACACTAGCCACTGAATGAAAAAACAAAAAACGCTCTATCCATTTGAAAATGGAATGTGAAGTTTGAAAATTATTCACTGTTGAAACTGACGAATAGAAAGTGGGTTAGTTGAGTGAACGACGCGGAGCGATACGCGAGCGGAAAGGCTGAGGCGCGCGAGATAACTGGCTACGAAGCGTAGCGGTGCTACGGTGCTACGGGGCTACGAGCTACGACGCAACAGGCAACGTTGATTGTCCGTTTAGACGGCACTGAAGATTTTAATTGATAGATTCGATATTAGATAAGCTGTCATGATTTGTGATCAATGTAGTAAAATGTTTATTTCATATGTGTTTTTTATGAGATTATAGAATAATATTTAAAAATATACGTCCGTTTCGGTAATTACATTAAAGTTATAAGCACGACTATCTGATTTATGTACTGGTGAAAAAAAATGATATGAGTTAAGCATTTTTTAGTTATTTAGGCACATTCAGTAATGTGGAATCCTAAATCTATGCCTAATTAACAAAATGTGCTGTAAGCCTTCTTCTTCAACCTCTTTTGTGACAACAAGAACGATGTTATAATATTTTGTAAGGAGCGTAAAAGATGAGAATCATTTTATATACGAGCAATGAACTGAAAATGTTCGTGTGACGATATAATTTTACTCGCAGTTAAAATGAAGTTTCTTCGTAATAGCTATTAGGTTTAACTTTTATTTGGTTCGAATTTGGTGCTTTTTTCCCGGATGAGTACAGCAGAGATTACTGATAGCAACAGTTTTTTTAGTAACATGAAGATAAGAGTTGTTATTTGATTTATTAAATACTATCTTTTGCCCGTTACTTTGTTCACGTGGAATAGTGACTTCCTGCAGATTTTTGGTTTAAAAACTACCCTATGTCCTTTCTCAAGTTTCAAACTATGTTTGTACCAAATTTCACATAAATAGGTTCAATAGTTTAGGCGTGAAGAAAAGACAGACAGACAGACAGTCAGACAGAGTTACTTTCGCATTTATAATATTAAGTTTGGATTATTTTTGATCGATCTTCGGCCACTCGCATCCAGCTCCTGCCAGCCATCTTGCGCAAATCATCACTCCACCTTGCCTGAGGACGTCCTACATTACGTTTGCCGAGACGCGGTCTCCACTCAAGAACTCGTCTACTCCAACGGTCATCGGTTCTTCGGCTAATATGGCCAGCCCACTGCCATTTCAGCTCGATCCCAGTGGCGTGCAATAGGAGAGGCCTATGTCCAGCAGTGGACTGAAAAGGGCTGATGATGATGATGATGATGATGATTATTTTTGAAAGATCTTCTTAAAAAACTATCTTCACTTGTATGTACCTATATATTATCAAATGGATGTTCTTTAGATAGATTGTTTTTATTACTACACTAAACATTATTATATATTTTTTTTTTATTCTATTTTAATTAGGGGTTTTTATCCACATGGATACGTCAACCCCATTGTAGCTTATACTCTATTTTCTCACAACCAAACAAGTATTACTATTCTTATATGAGACTAAGTATCTATAAACTATATTATATGAAAGGAAATTATTGTCTAGGTTCTCTCTGAATTAAGCCCCAAATTATGCGTTTAGTCCTTTCTGATTTAGGGAATGCCAATATATTTTGGATAAGTCCTACATCCCACATGTTTAGTTTGAATTCCTTAGCCAAAGATTCCCTTTCATCTTTATTCTTAACACATTCCATCAGCACATGTTGCACATCTTCAATTTTGTTGCACGTGTCGCAATTAGGCGATGCAGCTTTTCGCATTAAAAACGCAAATTTTGCTGATGGGATGTGGCCAGAACGAAGCCGTAGCATCAATTTTACATAACTCCTAGTTAAGTATTGATCCTCAAACCATGGTTCACGAGGAGGTTCGTTTTGAATTACTTTATACCAAATTCCTTTTTCTTTGGATATATCATCAAAGTATTTTTTCCATTTCTCAAACCAAACTTTTTTAAACATGGAGAAATATTCCCAGTAATCGGGTAAATACGAGGTAACGTTGCCCGTCTCGCTCGCCAGCTTAGATAGTCGGTCAGCCTCCTCATTGCCTCGCAAGCCTATGTGCGCTGGAACCCATTGCAAGATAATCTTAATGCCATCTTTGTTGTAATTATAAATTAACTTTAAAATGTCATAGGCCATCGATGCACCTCTGCAACCAGAGGCGCATCGAGCCAGATGTAGTAAAGCGCTTTTGCTATCCGTGAATATAACTACTCTTTTTAGATTTTGGCTATGTATATAGGGCAACGCTTGGTATATTGCAATGAGTTCCAGAGACATTATACATATATTTCCATTCGTTTTATACATAGACCATACATCTATAACCACTACTCTGACAGAAAAAAGCAGCTCCACACCTATCTTTAGTTTTTGACCCATCTGTGAAGATCTTATCCTAATCACTGTATTTGGAAGTCAATTCTGATACCACCTCGTGAACCAAAGCATTGTTATTATAACATGTTTTTGGAAGCGATACACATTCTAAATCGCTTTTGATAATCTCTTCAATTTGTAAAGCTGTTACCCAAATATCCAAGGAAAACATTTTAAGATTGTCCAATTTACTAATTTGCAGTTGATCAAATTCTTTAAAGGAAGTAGCCAGTAGGGGTTTTCTTTTGTTTGTCCAATAGCTATTACAAGTAAGGGTGCTTAAATCAGAGATGGTGTCTATAGTTACATTATTAGACCAGGACAGTGATTTTAAAATTATCTTATATGCGAGATATTGTCTCCTCAAAAATAATGGTGGTATGTGCAGTTCACTCTCCATTACATGTATTGGCGTGCTTCTTATAAAACCTCCTACTATTCTAAGTGCTTGATTTTGTAATTTATCTAGTTTACTTGTATGTGTTTTTGCACTAGAATCATACAGGTAACAGGCATAATCAAGACGGTTTCTTACTAGTGAAATATACATTCTACGAATATGCTTCGTATGCACTCCCCAAGAGGAGCCTGCTAGTACCTTTAATAAGTTAAGGTATTTTCCACATTTACTAACAATGTCATTGATGTGCTTTCGCCAGTGTAAACTCCTATCCAGCCAAAGTCCTAAGTATTTGATGCTGTCTACTACTTGTAACGGTTGTCCATACACTTTTAATGATGGTAATATTCGCCTACGGCCCCTACTAAATATACAGCAATTTGACTTGGTTGGTGACAAAGTCAATCCAATCTCACCCAGTAGTGTGATCATACAGTCTAAGGCATCCTGTAAATATCGCTCACTTTTGTTTATTTGTCTGTCACTAAAATAAAAGACAAAATCGTCTGCGTATTGCGATACCATAACGGTTTCTATTTGACGACAGATTTGATGCGTAACTAGATTAAATAATAAAGGAGATAACGGATCGCCTAGCGATAAACCTCTGTTAGTCCATCTTGTTTCACAAGCTTCACTATTAAACGATTTAATTCTTAATTTCCTCTCATTCATAAACGACCAAAGATAATTGCAAATTCGAGATCCAACTTGAACTTCATCCAGTACTCTTGTGACAGAATCTATTGAAACATTATTATATGCATTCTCAATATCCAAAAAACATGCAACTGTAGTAATATTTTTCGTAAATACAACTTGAATGTAAGAAACTAGTCGGGATAGTGCGTCCAAACATGATTGTGCCTTTCTAAACCCTATAGTGTACGGAGACAGGAGCTTGTTTTTTTCCGAAAACCATTCTAAACGTTTATATATCATAAGATGAAATGTTTTACATACACAGGACATAAGTGAAATAGGTCTTAGTTTGATTTCATTATTAATATTATTTGTGATTTTGGGTATGGGAACAATCTGAATATTTCGCCATTGGTGAGGTACAATACCGTATTTAAATATATTATTGTATATCTTCAGTAAAATAAACTTTCCCGAGTCCGGTAAAACTCATAAGAAATGGTATCTTGCCCCGGGGCCGAATCCACTTTTTTAAGGCAGTTTTCAAGTTCTTGACGTGTAAAATCGGATTCTAAAATTTCGTTTTGAGACTTAAATTCTGGAGTCCAATTAGGAGTATAATCTGGGGTCAGAGAGCGTAACAGTTCAAGTTGTTTGTCAATGGGAGGGCAATAACTTTGTTGTTTTACACCTTTAAACCACTTCATACGGCGCCACATTTCCGGCGTCGACGTAACTTCATCTATAGAATCACAAAAAATTTGCCAACTATTAAATCTAGCTTTCTTAATTAATGTTTGAGATTCTAAAGTCTTAGATTCTAGTTTATTTAAATTCTCTGGAGTGGGGTTTTTACGGAAAGTTGACAGGGCCAATCTTCGCTGTGCCACTATTTCTGACAATTTAGGAGACCAGTAATTTTTTTGTTTAAATTTTTCGTTTGGTTTTAAGTTAAATTTATAAAAGGGTATATGTTTACTAGCTGCATACTCAACATAGTTTATAAAGGCGTCATACATTTGTTGCACGTTAAAATTATCGGAATCTTCCTGAAGCATTTTAATATTTTCAGCGATCGTTTGACTATATTCACTCCAATTAGCATTTTAAAAGTTACGTTTTTTAACAATATTTACATGACATGATAGGTTAGCTGTTATTTTAATAATCAGGTGATCACTTCCCAGGTTCTCATTAAAAACTTGCCAATCAAATTTTATTACAATATCAGACGAGACAAATGATATATCTGGGGAAGTTTGTTGTAAATTACCATTTACCAGCTTAACTCGAGTGGCGGCGCCGTTATTGAGCAAAGTGAAATCATTTTCCAAACAAGAGTCCATTATTTGTGTTCCTCTCACATCCGATTTAATCGACCAATTCGTATGATGGCCGTTGAAGTCCCCAGCTATTATAGTTTTATTCGAAAAACTACTAAAAATATTATCCCAAACAGAAGGTTGAGTTTGAACAGACGATGGACAGTACAGTGATACAATATATTCTAAGTCTTTACAATTTAATAATTTAACACAAATTAGTTCAATACCCATATTATTGATATTTAATGACACTGGGTGAGACTGAATCGACTTATGCACTACAATAGCAACCCCGCCGTAACAATCATATCTGTCTTTCCTATATATATTGTACCCACTTATAGTAACGTTAACCTCACAATCCAACCATGTTTCGCTAACTATTGCAATGTGTATATTTTCTTGTATTAA